TTGGGCTGAGCCCCACCAGCTGGGGTGCAGTGGATCTTGGGGCTGAGGGGCTGGCAGCATCCCCCCTTATAAGAGTGGGAGAGAGGCAAGCCCAACCATGAGCACAGCAGCAGTATGCTCTCTGTGCCACATTGCCACGTTGGGAGTGATGAGGAGAGTCCTGCACCCCCAAGGCTGCGGTGCTCCATGCCCGTGGGATGCTGTCTGCCCACCACCTGCACAGCACACAGCAGCAGGACTTGCTGCAGTCCTGCTCCTTGCAGAGACGCAGGAGGCATCGAGCCCTGAGCAGCCCCAGGAGGAAGCAGAGGGGCTCCTGCCAGGCAAATGCTGGTGCTGAGAGAGCCACAGGGCTCAAAGTGAAGGCTACGAGTTACAGGCCTTTAGTGCTACTTCAGATGCAGCTGAGACCTCCTTGTCTCGCATGGCAGAAGGACAGACCTGTGCAGAGGTTGAGAGGCCTCCAAACCTGTGGAGCTGCACTGCACCACCGGAAAAGCTGAGACCCACAACCACCAATTTGAGACCCAGCTCAGCCACACCTGGAGCCGGCCCCTCTCTGAAATATCTGTACACAGCTGCATACGGAGGGGGCCCCTCAGCTGACCATCAGCCCCTTGGCTGCCCGCTTTTAGCACTAGAGAGACACAACAAGGAGCGAGGAGCATCAGATGATATAAATTTTATCTTTTGTAGCAGGACCAGCAAACCAAGGAAAGTTTGCAGCGCTAGCAAATGGCAAATAACCCATTAGCTATGGAGAGTTCAGCACGTCTCTACTTTTATTATAAGTTAGCCTCACTAAACCATTGACTTAACAGAGAATCATTATAAATCCCCATTTTGAATTTTTTTATTAGCAGTATTTATCACCTTCTCAAAATCAATCCTATATTTTTAAATTAAAACAAATGACTACTTGTACTGCAATCAATATTAGTACATTTCCCTTTCTTAAAAGGAGAAAAAATGGAATACAAAGAAATGTCCTTCTTTGGCTGCATCAATCCAATTTCAATATAATTCAATATTTAATAAATATAATCCTCTGTGTCTGTGCAGGGAAACATCATAAAAAATGCAAAAGGTTTCCTGGTCTCCAATAACTTGCATGAAACAAAGTGTTTCCTTATTCCTTCCATAAATACTGCAGTCTTATGCTACTGTTTTTTTCTTCCTGTGCATTAGACAGAGTTTGCTCTGATTATGTTTAAGAAAGGAGATTTACATATTTCATGATTAAAAATCCAAAATCCACCTCCAAAAAATTACCATCTTTATCTCTTTGTACTTCTTCGGCTTGTTGTTTTTGAAAGGGCAAAAAAGAAAAACCTTATATAATACCTAATTTATACATCTGTGGTTTCCCTCTGACTTGTGTAGGCACCATATGTTTTTAATTATCATAATAGCCTTAAAGAACCTGTTCAGTGAGAAACACATATGATCCTTTTATTACTGGTTTGTAATTTAAACAGTTTTAACAGAAAAGGTCTGGCTATAAGGGACAGAGAGGCACAAAGGTCTAAAAACCCTGTTATTGACCTCTGAAAGCATGAGTTCAGATCCCACCCACTGAGGTGGGACCCGGCTCTCCCGCCTCTGACAGAGGTAATCGGTCGCATGTGAAACGGCTCTTCAGGACCTTAAAAGACATAATCTCCGATCTCAAACGACTCGATGTTGCAGTCAGCGCTGACACAATGAAACCGGGTCTATAAACATTATCACGCACCCGATCTGCGCTTTCTTCTCCCTGGCAAAAGCTGGAGTGATGGTGCCGCAGGAGCAGCCCTATGAATGCCAGAAGCTCAGAATTTCAGCAATTCTCATTAGTTGTTGCCCTTTCACATTCCCGGTTTTGTCCTTTATGCAAATGCGAGGCTGGTGAGCACGCCAGTCTCCCAGCCACGGGAAACAGTCAGATATTCGGAGGTAGGAATTAAATTTAACAAGTTCAATTCACTCCTGATTCTGGACATCTAAACACATAATCAGTCTGATAATGTTATTAATTATCATTCAAGCGACAACCTTTGACACTGGCATGCTCCCACAACCTCCCTACTCCAATAACTCAAACAGAAAATCGTTGGCATGAAACCCCACAGTCTTATGAACAGAAATTGCAAATAAGCAGGCACTGAACAACTGGGAGTGAGCAAAATCCCCCTTTTCAGAGAGAAAGCAGAGGCTCACACAATAGCTTAGTCACTTGACCCAAAATGAAATTCTGCAGAGCTTCGTCCCAAAACAGAAAATTTACACCCCAAACAAAGAGCAGTGGGGAGAAGAGGGTGGGGAAGGGAGCCCAGCTAAAATTACACTGAGGCTGGAAGTCGTTACGGCTCCATCTCAGGAGATGGATGATGTTCTCATTAGAACGAAGCTTTATTTAGACAGACGGACAGAATCCTTATTAGAACATTAGGCTGAAAAGTTTAAATGACAGAAAATACAAAATTAAGATTTTGCAAATAAGTGCTGACTTGGAGGAAAAAACTCAAGAGCTCCCTGTACAGATCCCACCGGAGACACCTAGGAAAAATGAAATCACTCAGGAATGGCAACCTCCCATGCCAATCTAACCCTTTGAGGGTATTCTTGCAAAACTGTTTCACAAAAGCCAAAGGAGATCCCTTTTCTTGGGCAAAGTGGCTTCCACTCACGATCTGATGCTGTCAGCTCTGTCCTTGGACACTGACTCCAGAGGGAAGGATGGACTCAGGAGCTGCCTCCTCCCACCACCCTTTTCAGGGGGAGCCCACCCAGAAGAGGACATGCTCATGTTTGAAACCCATTTCCAGCTGCACAGACCCCAAAAACTGTGAATCAGCCATTCCTTGCCCTTCCCTGTCTCACTCCCCAGCCCCAGCCCCTCTGCTTTCTCCAGGGAAACTCAGGTATTTTGCGGTGATGGAAAGACAGCTTAATTATCTTCCATACAAAAGAGACGGTCATTGTTTTCCATTTTACCTGAAAGCTAATGGATCTTTGGATACCAGACGTGGATGCTCAAAATCCCCTCTGGAGCCTTTCTGGTGATTTGTCATCTCTCAGTTGCCTTTGGTGCACACCGGTCTCTGCCGAGGCAGTATGTGAGCTACTGCACACTAAAAGCAGATTTTCGAGAGAGGCAGTGCTTGCACACACACACACACACATTCCCCCCCAAACCCAGCCAGACACTCTCCAACCTCTTGTTCTGCACCTTGCTGGCAGGTCCTGCTCTGAACCACAGTGACCTGAGGAGGAGCTGCTCATCTCACAGGTGTTGGAGGTTCAGGTAGGAAAGGCAAGGCAGGATTTGCTCCCGAGAGAATCACAGCACTGCAGAGCTCTGCATGGCGCAGTCTTTGTCGTCTCGCCCAGGCTCATGGGAGGGACCTGTGGGTGCTGCTGTCCCTGCTTTGCTGAGACAGACCCTGGCAGCTGCTGGGACAGTGCCATGGAGCCACCTCCACTGGCCTCACCAGAGTTCCCTGATCTTCCTGGACTCCACAATTCTCATGTGGCACAGGATCACCCACCTGCATGTCATGGACTTGTCCCTTCGCCAGGCTCTAGGCCTCCACATTGAACTTTACACTTGGGCCAGAAGGAGATGCTTATAGAACCAGAGTTTCTGCTGGGATTAAACAAATTGAAAAAAAAAAATATCTTGCATTTGATCTTCTAAATAAATAAATCTTTTTTCTCTTTGTGTTTTTGGGTTTTGCGGTTGTTTTTTTTATTTTATTTTTCTCTTTTTTTCCAATATGAATTCAGTGAAAATCTAGTTTCACTTTCCTGCAACTTCACTCACAAAATCATCAGGATGAAGTTTTCTGGTGAAACAGAAGTGCTCAGTGTTTAACTTGCAGCGTGGGGAGGACAGCAGGGAACACCCTGTGTTGCAATAGTAGAACCAGAGGACATTTACTCAGCCGGAGAGCCCTACTCCTGCACACGTGTTTCTGTACCTCTCCCACCACTTTCCAAGCAACTGACTCTGCAAGCCACCAGCAAGGGAGGGAGCACTAACATACTCCACCAGATGTTATCCCTTTGCCTTTGGAAAGACACACAGGATCCATCTACCTGTTGAATTCATATCCACCACCACCACCATGTAAAGTCAGCCTAGGAACTCTCCATGCTATAGCTCCTAAGAAAAGCGCTTCCACCTCATCCTCTTCTTCTCCCACACACGTAAAAACACGATTCTACCTTAAGAGAAATCCCAGTTCTGGGCCCGAGAAAACTCTTTCTACTTAAGGATCCTCCTCTCACGGTAAGGATTCTCCAAATTTCCAAAAAGTTGATAACAACAATACCACTGTGATCCCATCTGTACACAGCAATGGCACTGTAATGCATAGAGCATAAACCACCAAATTCCCACAGACAGCATCTGTCTTACTACAAACAATGGACCATTATCTTGTAAATAATTCTGATTAAGCTGCAGCATTTTCCCCAAACAAACAGTAGGGAAGCAGAGGGTGAGGATTTTTCTAGTGGGAGTGCTGGTTTTCTCCTTCCCCAACACTGACACTCAGTTTTTTATTCAACTGATTGGCCCCCTCCCCTCCCCACTCTGTCCCCCACGGCTTGGTTTTCATCTTCTGACCTTATCCAGCTGTCAGTCATTTTGGCAACTAAAGAGGGAGCCATCATGTTAATGGGATTCCCACCTCTATCCTTTGGGAAAGCTTTTCTGGTTTTTTGTTTTTGGTGTTCTGTTTTTGTTTTTTTTTTCACCCCAATGTACAGTTATTTAACGATAAGTGAATACACCCATAAACCCTCCTGTTATTAAACAGTTCTCTTGTTAGGGTACGGAAAAATCAGCCGCACCGCTGGGTGTGTGCTGGTGCTGGCCAGAGTTTGGGGATGTCTGGTTATGCTGGCAATGCATCCTGGTGCTCTTGGAATCTGGGTGAACATGGCATGGGAGCAGACTTTGCTGGGCAAAAGCTGTCACCCTCTGCAAACTCCCAGCAGGGAGAGCACAGCCCTCAACTTGGGGTTCACCAGCCTGTGCCAGTGGGGTACCTGCACCCGCAAGAGCAGCACATGGCACTTTTCTGCACTCCAGCTGGAGGCTAAACCAGCAACAGGCTTATCAGGAAGGTCTGAATCTATTTAAAAGCAAACCAAGCACACAGACCGGAACAGGGTTAGCTGTGCAAAGGGACAAGTGAAACAAGACACAATTAGGGTTAACGTGCTCCTTTCTCTTAAGGTCTACAAACCGGTCTATGTGGCAGATGTGAACTGAGGAGAGCCCTCAAGAAATCCCGAATTTCATGTTTAACTTGTTCCTTTAAATGCACAAACCTTTTCTTGTATGTCTCTCTTGATAAATGTCACATCTATATAAGGCTGAAGTGTTGGTTTTCCTTCCCTGTATCCTCTTAACTTGCCTTGTTATACATGTGAGCTGTTCAGGATCAAACACACTTCCTGGCTTGAATACAAAAGAAAACACATAAAGCGAAGCAGCAAAGACTAATCTAGGATGGGTATGTTGAAAAGCAGACAATGAAAATTTTAACTTACAAGTTAACTGAAGTCACTGCCATTCAATTATAAACCACACTATGGCCAGTTCAGCCACCAGATCAGTGAGTGTGAGCAGCAACACCAGGACCTGCTGAGCACTGCAGAGACTGAACAGGGAGCATCACACTGAGAGGAGGGGACAAATGCTGGCAGATGGCATGGCACATCCTCAGTCTTGACAAGGGTCTGCTCACACAGGACAGGAGGACCCTCAGGCTGATGGTGGACATGGGATTGAGTGACCCACCAGCCACTTTGCTGAGCCACTGCCTGCCTCATGCCCTGGTGCTGCATGGCTCCTCAACACAGCTGTGGCGATGGTCAAAAACTGTCGGCTCAATCCAGCTGGCACTCCAAAGACCCCTGAGGTCAAAATTCATGGGTTTGGTGGAAAAACATTATGGCCAAAATATGGCAGGTGCAGAGAGCCCCTGAGCACCGGCTTTACCAGGCTGGGCTGTTCTGGAAATCAGGCTCACAGACTCTGCTGGGGTACTGAAGGGATGTGCACACCCAACACTTATTGTCACTGTGTGTTTATTTTCATCAATAAATTTTTATAGCTTACTGTAGTTATATCAGAGAAGGAAGCATTTATACACTAAAGACTTATATGATGTTCTTCATCTTCAAAGTGCTTTACAAACATTAATTAATTCATTTATCCTCACAGCACTCCTACCAGGGAGATAAGTGCTATTATTTGCCGTTTCACAATGGAGAACCCAAAGCGGAAAACTTGGTTTTTTCCATGGTCAGTGAGTGAATCACAGGTAGGCCTGCAGGAGGAGTGAGGGCTGCCAGCTTCTGAACGTGAGCCCCCCTCCCCAAATCTTAGTTAAAAGACTCGTGTTCTGCCAGAGCCATGGCACATATCGGGATGTGCCTTGGGTTTTTCCTTCAGTAAGAGATAATTAAGGAACAATTCCCTCTCTGATCCCCAGCATGGCATGCTATTTTCTACCCCACTGTTGCTCTGCGAGCCAAACAATGGCTGTTCTATGCAAGGACTGGCGATACAGACGCCCCGGATCAAAGGAGATCAGCTTAAAGAAACTTGCTGGCCTGCATCTCGCTCCACAGACAATGGGGCGGGCTCAGCGGCTTGGGTGAAAATGCCTGATGTGGGGGTGGCTTCAGGAACACCTGCTTGTAAATGGCCACGCTCCGGGCAGGGGCATCTGCCAGCTGAAGTCACTCATGTCCAGCATACCTACCCAGAAATTTCATCTAGTAGGAAAACTGCTGTGGTTTCCGGTATTTGGTCTCAATCCTAAGTGTATTCCTTTTACATTCATGCCGGAGGGATGCACAGTGCTCCTGGTTCACCTCTGTGGTGCTGCAGTAAATAAACCTCTTTCCTGTCTGCTCCTTGCCAGCAAATGTGTGGCTGCTTCAAATGGCAATAACAGTTACTGGGAGCTTGGAAGGTTCAATTTCAAGGCATCTCAAAAAATAAAACTATGACTAGGTCTTCTAAGGAATTGTTCAGATTAGAGAACTTAAATCAACATTGGGGATGGCAAACTGGGGAAAAAAATCCTAATTTTATAATTTCTAAAAAAGTCATGTTTCACTCATTATAGTCCTTCTTAATGAAGACCTCACCCACTCTGGGTTTTTTCCCCACTAGTTTATGTTTTGACAATAATAAAAATGCTTAAGCCTCCAATCCTTCTAAGTAATTTCCTAGCTTGGCAAAGATACATTCATATTAGCAAAATAAACTGCCAAGTTAAGCCATGGCATATTGCAGAAGACATGACCACGTCCTACTGGGGAAAGGCCGGTACCTAGACATTGCTTCAGAACAACCAGTACAATTGTTTAGTGAGAAATGTTTTTTGCATATGAGTCATCAACCCTGGAAAACAGGATTTCTTATATAATGCAAGTGCTGACACAGCCTTCACTTGAGTGGTGTGACTGCAGCTGTATAATTACAACTTTAGATTTGATGTTATGGACCTTAGGTTATGCCATTCAGACAAATGCTCCATTGTAGTACAGAGATATTTTTTCCTTAGTCATATTGCCCACAGGACAATAAGGACTATATTCACAGCTCACTGTACAGAAGTTTAGGCATATTACAGCCAGCGGTATTACACAAGATGAGATTATACTCTATGGGGGTTAAATGGATTCGTAATTGCCACTTCTTCTTGTCTTTCTTTTCCTTTGCTCCTAGTTGATACTTTTTTGGAAGTGCTCTCCAAATAAAAGGAAGAACAATCTCACACTGAGTCTGGATAAATGTTACAGTTGTCTCACAAATGCTGTATTATTTCTAGCCCTTCCAAAATAATATAATTGTCCTACTGCTGAACTACAGATTTTTCTCAGTATGACACAGAACACTAAAATGTCAGGTCCTGACTCATGGTGTTTTGGTGGAATAAATAAAAAGTACTAATATGCTATTCAAAACTGACAGCATTAATGACACTGGGAGCTCATGTCATGTTTTCCTTTAGCTTCCATGGCATACTCAGTGGTTCACTGAACAGCAGGTCACCTCCTGTGGGTCCCATCC